GGCGCAGGGCGCGGACACCCGGGGCGGGCGGGGCGCGGCGCGTGCAGCGTGCGGCGCGGGGGTTGTCGCGCGCCTGCAGCACTGCGCTGGCGACGGCGCGCATGATGGTGTCGCGCCCGACAGCCGCCTCCGCGATGGACGTGACGCTGGGTGGTATGTTGATCTCCAGGCGCTTGGGGAGGACCATGAGATCCGGAAGGTCAACGGTCAGCAGCTTAGTCAGGAACGACTGGGGGTGGCAGCAGGGTTGGGGTTGGGGCGGGACGGGGCGGGCTGTGTGTGTGTGTGGGGGGGTGAGCGGGATCGGAGGGCACGGGGTGGGGGCAGGTGGGGGTTCGGTTGCGGGGGCCGGCGCGGCAGGCCGCTTTGCCGGGCGCAGCGGCGCTCGCGCAGCACGGGTCTTCAAACGACGCGCCACGCCCACTCAGCATCGACAAGAGCAGCCTGCAGGCCGAGGCCGCCAGCTCCCTGGACCCCCAGGGGCACATCGGTTCCCCGTGTTGAGTGCGGCACTCCAAGAAAACAGCCGACCGCCGCCCACCTGCAGCACGGGGATGCGCATCAGCCGCACCCTGTTGTAGGGCGACAGCTGCACCTTGACCGCGGGAGGCCCCACAAACGCCAGGCTGATCGTGCCGATCCAGGGGCACATCGGCGCCAGCCGCAGCTGTGTGTGTGGGTGGGCAGGGGGGCCGCGGCAAGCGGACGGGGCGAGGGAGGTAGGGTCACGGGGGGCCGCCAAAGGTGCGGGCCGTTGCATCCGTGTGGCGTGACCCGGCAGCTCGGCAGTCGCGCCGACAAACTCCAGTGCCAGCGGCGGCGGCAGCGGCTGCACACGACAACAGCAGCGGCGGCGGTGGCGGCAGTAGCAGCAGGCAGCAGCAGCGACCGCGCCGCCAGCGGTGGCGACGGCAGCGACACGTCGCGCCAGGCAGCACGAGGCAGCACCAGGCAGCACGAGGCAGCGGCGGCGGCGCTGGCCGTCATGGTGGCCGCAACCGCGTGAGCGACGGCATCGCCAGGCAGCGGCGGCTGCTGCCGCGGGGCCCGCGAGCGCGCCGCACCTTGAGCCACAGTGCGCACTCAACGTCCAGGTCAGACACCAGCACGGGCACCTTGAAGCGCCACCGCCCCTCACCTGGCGCGCGATAACACGCGAGGCGAGACGGGAGACAAACCAGACAATACAGTCAGCGCACCGCGGCCCGTGTCGTGGACCCCCCAAAAGCAGCGAGCGAGTGGCAACCCATGCGTGAGGCGTCACCCTCTCCTCCAGGCCGCGCCCCGCCGCGCGGTCGCGGCGCCCTGTCCGCGACCCACCGACTTCCAGCGCGAGCAGCATGCGCGCGCCGCCGGTGTAGCGCACGTCCACCACGCCGTTCAGGTCAGAGTCCTTCCTGCGGGGCCGCGGGGCCGCCCCATTGCCTTCAGATAGTCTGCTTTCAGCAGTGTAGGCTTGATGAGAAGGCTTATGAACCCCTGACACCCGCCCCCAGCCGCCGTCCCCAGGCCCCGCGCCGCCGGCGCCGCCACTCAACCCCCGTCGTCCCGGCCTGGGCCTCCCTGAGGCGCCCTATCCGCCACCAACCCTGCGGCGCCCGGGCCTGGCTCGTATTTTGCACCCCGCCCGCCCCCGCTCGCCTGCTGTTGCGCCGCCGCATGTTTGAAACATACGGCGCCTCGTGATCCAGGGTGAACTCGACGATCCGCAGCCGCTGCACCAGCCGCATGTTCCCGGCCTGCGCGCGCGGCCCGGCAGGCGCGTCGGGCGGGGGCCGCGGCGCGCTTGGCACGCGGGACGCTCTCTGGGGCGTCCACGGTGGACTCGATCCGCATGCTCCCTCCGCCGCTCCCCGCCGCAGCGTGTCCCGCTGCCCCCTCCCCTAACTCCGCAAACAGCATACGCCTCAAGCGCCCGCGCCGCGACCGGGGCGGTCGCTGCCCGCAAGAGCGCGAGGAGCCCCCACGCCCGCGTCCGCCCGGCTTCCCGCCGGCTTCCGCTCAGCTTCCAACCGGCTTCCTGCCGCCCTGGCCCTCACCTCAAGCAGGCTGTCAAACACCGGCTGCAGCAGGTCCGTGAACCACCGCTCCAGCCCGCGCTGGAACACCCGCCAACTCTTGCGGATACACATGTTCACCCACTCCACGCTCTCCCCGTCGTCGCTCTCGATCATGCGCGCCGCGATGTCCTGCTCCCGCCGCCGCGCACGCTCGGCCTTCTGCGTGAGCAGCAGCTGCCGCCGCCGCCGGCCGACGCCGAACGCGTCGCCGAACGCGCCGTACCCGGCCGCCGGCTCCGCCTCCTCCGCCGCCTCCGCCGCGCTGTCGGCGGCGCCGCCGCCGTCGCCGTCGGCCTCGCCGCTGCTGGTCTCCTCTAAGCTGTACACCTCGTCGTCCCAGCCGTACGGGCCGCCCGCGACGCGCCGCGGCTCGCGGTCCTGCGGGCCGCCCCGCCACCAGAGGCCGTCGGGCAGGCCGGCCAGCAGCCGCGCCTGGTCGACCGCGCCGCGGAACCACGCGGTGCGCAGCAGCCACCGCAGCAGCAGCTGTGCGCCGACAACAACGGCGACGCCGAGGACAAAGGAGCGCAGGCTGAACCTGGACGCAGGGGGGTTTGATTTGGGGGGGTGTGCAGGGTGTGCAGGGCCGTGCACGTGTGAGCACCCTTGCAAGACATACGGTGGCACGGGGTGTGCCAGGCGGCTCTTTGACTCGACACCTGACGCGATTGAATGACCAAAGGCGCCCAGGCCGCCAGCAGAAATGCAAAGGCGCTGCCGCCAGAGGCTGCGCCGGCGCAGCAGGGCGCTCTGGCTGCTCATGCGCCTTTCCGCTGCCCTGCAACCACCCAGGCCACCCTTGCGCAAGCCTAGCAGCAGCTGCGGTCCCCGCTGCGCTTGTGCGGCGACAGCCCCTGGTGACAGGCGCCCACCCTCCGGCTTGGAAGAGCGCCGACCCGGCCGGGTGCGCGGCGGCGGCGGCGGCAGCTGCGACAGCGCGCCTAGCGGGCCGCCCCTCCGGCCCGCTGCACCCCAGGCGCCCGCCGCATCCGCCGCCGGCGATGCTGCTGCTGGGCGGTGCCTGCGCGGCGGCGCCGAGGATGGGGGGGCCGCCGGCCGCAGCGCCTGCGCGCGCCGCTGCCACCTGTGGGAGGCGCGGCGCCCCTGGCAACGCAGCGGCCGGCGGCCGCGGGGCCACGAGCACCGCCGACGACGGCGCCCGTACGGCCCAGCCGCGGTAGTATATTGCCTGCGGCAGGAGGCACGTCAGCAAGCCAGGCATATAGTTGGGGCCCCGGGCAGCAGCATGGCGCCCACCTGACGCGAGGGGCGCGCAAGGCCACATCGACTGTTTGTGCGTCAGCATCCGGCACTACCAGGCTGACCAGGCTGCGCCCTACGCCCCCAGCCCCTGTGTATGAAACCATGCTGCGCTTTCCCCTTCCCATTGGCGGGGCGTGCAGGCCCAGGCAAGCCGAGAAATGGCTCGGTCCGGAAGGACGGCCATCCACAATGGGTGGGCTCACAGGAGTCCATGCAGATACAATAAGACATAATCATATCCAAGACTCAGCAGGCTTCAGCACTCACCGTCAGGGGGGAGACAGCTCGCGGCCCCTGCAGCGGCCGCAGCGGCCGGGGCACTGCAACATGCCGAAGAATTCCCGGTTGGCGTGAACAGCGTGCGGTCATAATGATCGCTAGGCCGAGATCGCTAGGCCCAGCCGCGGCCCAAGCCACATCTTCGGCAACCGCTTATGTTGATGTACATGAAATGAGTTTTATTAACGTCCGAATTGGCTGTGCAAGTCCGCTTCACCCTTTCAGCGGGTCTAGTGCACGGCGCCCGTCAAATCTTCGACACCTACGAGTGTGCGAATGGCCAGACGGTTGGCTGCGCATGCAGCGATCCTTGACGTATTCTGACTTGAATTAATGAGGCCCCTGAAGGCTGGGTCAAGCACGGTCAAGTTGTTGTGTTGCCAGCGGTGGCGTGCAAAGCAGCAGTGCCTGCGGCGCGGACGCAGGTGCCGGCACGGGACGGCCCCAACATGCAGGACCATGCCCCCCAGCGGCAGCGGCAGGGCCGAGCAGCCAGGACGCGGATGGTGCGCATCAAGGTCGTCTCGCTCGGCGACTGCGGCGTTGGCAAGTCATGCCTCATCAAGCGGTGGGCGCCCGTCGGCTGCAGGGCGCAGGTGGTTTACGACAACAAAATCCCAAGCAGCTGCAGTATGCCCGTCTACCAGAGAAGAGAGGAAAGAGAAAGCACACCCCTGATGCAGAACGTGCGGCCTCCACCAGGTTTTCCCAACCCCACTTGAACCCAGTGCGGTCCACTCGCTTCGGCCGAGGCAGCTGTACTGTACATAATGTTCAACTCAGCTCGGCCCCAACCCTCCCCAACCCGCCGCAGGTACTGCGAAGGTAAATTCATAAGCAAGTACATCCCAACTATCGGCGTCGACTACGGCGTCAAGCCCGTGAAGCTTGGGGATTTTGAGGCGAGCTCACCTGGCAAACGCACGGTGCCAGGAACACAGCACAATGGATTCTGTCACCATAAACCATATAGTACCATAAATCTATGCGTTGCATCGGTGCCGCACCCATCCAGCACCATCACCAGCACATGCACGCACACACGAATACCCCCCCCCCAAACACACACACGCACACACGTCACATCACACCAAGGCTGGTGCACCGTCGGGCTCAAGTCTCAAGCGCCTGGCTGCTGTGCACGCAGGTTCGGGTCAACCTTTGGGACATGGCAGGGCCCGATGACTACCTTGAGGTGACTCGCGACTCCCGTTTGACTGATGCCACTGCACTGGCTTGGCAGTCCCACAGATGGCACCCCATCATGTTGGCTGCACCGCGCTACAATACAAACGCGCCTAGCTAGCCCACGTCGCTGCCGCAGCCGCTTCTGTGATGTCGCTGTCCATCAGAGCGGCCGACCACCGGCTCTGCGCCGCCCGCGCGCTCCTCTCAGGTCCGCAACGAGTTCTACCGGGACACCCAGGGTGCGCTGCTGGTCTTCGATGTCGGCAGCCGCGTGAGCTTTGAGGCGCTGCCGCGCTGGCTGGACGAGGCGCGCTGCTGCGGCGCGCCGCGCGACATGGTGGGCCGCGGCTGCTGCCGGCGGCGCCGGCTGGCGCCGCCACGCAAGCAGCCAGGCGGGCGCTGGGCGGGGTCAGAGCTTGTGTGCTGCCGCACTCTTGTGGGGTTATGGATGCCTTGAAGCAGTGCTGTGGAGGACAGTGCCGAAAGGCACACTTCAGCACCTGGCTTGACGGCTGGAGCGTCACAACCCCTACCCAACAATCCTGCAGGTCGTGTGCGTCGTGGGCACTAAGGCGGACGCAGCGCCCGCCAGCAGGCGTGTGCCTGAACAGGAGGCCCGAGACTGGGCGTTGGCCAGGGGGCTGCGCTACTTTGAGGTGAGGTGGGATAGACCAGAAGATGGCAGTCATACGTTCAAGGGCGTGCATATGTGCCAGCTCATGTCGCCATGACGCAGCCCTGAGTATGCGTCCCATCCATACGCTAGGAAATCGCGGCCTTGATGCCGCTGCCTTGTCTCTCGCTTGCTCACGCGGCCGCCCCCAGGTGTCAGCACTGACTGGAGCGTCCGTGGGCGCGACGTTTGCGACACTGTTCGCCCAGGTGCTTGCAAGCACCGTGAATGTGCCGCAGGATGCCGTTGCGCGCGCCGAATGCGAGGCAGAGCTACTGACGGGCGGCGCGCAGTAATCCGATGGGCGGCAAACAGAGTAGGGGTGGCGGTTGCGACTCTGACTGACTGGATTTTGGGATGCTGCACATTGACACGGGGCCAGCGCAGCTGCTGCGCCGCAGGCACCCTGCTGCACGGACACAGCAGGTACTGCAGGCGGTGGTTTTGCGAGCCAGCCGGCCCATGTAGAGTGCCACTGAGCTTCAAGCCTCACAATATTGCCAATATAAGCGAAGTATCGCCGCTCGGACGCGGTATTTGGGGGGCAGCTCAGCGGACAAATTCTAGCGGGTGCCGAACGCAGTGGGCCTGCCTCGACGCAAGAGGCCCAGCACGCGCGCGATGGTCACCTTTCCGTGCTTTGATTCTACTGCACGAAAGTCGTCATCATGGCTCTCTCTCAGAAGGTACGGCAGCGCGCATTCCCAAACTCCCTTCGAGACAGCGCCCTTTGCCCCACGCAGCGGACGTCGCCCTGGGCCTCTCAGTGCGCGCATTGGCCGTCGGTGACACAATCACCCCATCAGGCAGCGCGCATTGACCTCCCCTCGCGCGTATGTCCCCTCTCGCAGGCTGCCTTCGCGGGCCGCGCCACCTCCACCCGTGCTTCCCGCACCAAGGCGAGTAGAGAGGAGTGGGCTGAAGCTACGTATGGGTCGCTGGGGTCGTGCTAGTGGACAGGCGCTGCTGCTAGCTTTGATCTCGTGAAACTCGGGCCTATTCCGTGGCTCATTGGCTGCGGGATTTGCCAGGATCGCAATGGTGGTTGTTATAGTATCTTCTCGTTTGCGCATGGGCAACTGGCGGCGGCGGTGCCACGCCAAAGCAGCGCTCAACGCCACCCGGCCAAGTTGGCAGTGGCCACAGCGGGGCAGGTGCTCTGCGCCCCAAAAGCGAGGGCAGGCTACCCATGCGGCGCCCCCACAGCACCGTGGGCCCGACCGCCCACTCCATTTGCGGCCCTTTTGCACACGCCCAGGTGGTCGATGTGCGCGCCGAGAAGAAGATCCGCGTGGCCATCAACGGCTTCGGCCGCATCGGCCGCAACTTCCTGCGCTGCTGGGAGGGCCGCAGCGACAGCCTGCTCGACGTCGTGGCCATCAACGACTCCGGCGGCGTGAAGCAGGCGTCCCACCTGCTCAAGTACGACTCCACCCTCGGCAAGTTCAACGCCGAGGTCAAGGTCGTGGACGACTCCACCCTGCAGGTCAACGGCAAGAACATCAAGGTGGTGTCCAGCCGCGACCCCACCCAGCTGCCCTGGAAGGAGCTGGAGATCGACCTCGTCATCGAGGGCACTGGCGTGTTCCTGGACACCCCCGGCGCGGGCAAGCACATCCAGGTGCGGGTGGCGGCTGGTGGGGCTGTGCTGGTGGGACTTTTGGGGACGGCCGCCATCTGGGCCGGCATGACAAAGGGCCGCCACGGGCGGATGGGGTTTGACGGGCAGGGTGTTGTGTTGGCACGGTGCTGTGGTTGCGCTGTCATAAGCCTGCCCAGGTTGCCCGGACTGGTCAAAATGGGCGCCGCAATGCAGCTGCTCTGCTGTGCGAGGTGATATGGACTGCACGAGTGGTTGAACTGGTACCGTGGCCCCGGTCTAGTCACGAGCCGCACCTGGGCCCTATCGGGGCCTGCTGCGCCTGTTGGCCCCTCGATCTCAGCTGAAGCTGACCGCACGACAGCCACTCACTCTGATACACTTGCTCCTTCACGCCCACTGCCTCCCTAACCGCCGCCGCCCTCCCTCCCCCCTTCTTTCCCGCCCGCAGGCCGGCGCCAAGAAGGTGCTGATCACCGCCCCCGCCAAGGGCAGCGACATCCCCACCTACGTCATCGGCGTGAACAGCCAGGACTACAAGCACTCGGACGCCATCATCTCCAACGCCTCCTGCACCACCAACTGCCTGGCGCCCTTCGTCAAGGTGTGGCCGCGGCGGC